GCCGGCCTTAGGCCTTTAGGCACCCTGTGCGAGAAAGCTTTACAGCGTGCCTCAGTGACCACACCCCTCAGTAACCACACCCATTTTTTCCAATAAATACTCCCATTTTGTTAGGCCCCAAAGAAACATATTAAAAAGTATGATAAAAATAAAACTTTTATTCAAAGCTATTAAACTTGTAAGCACAATATAAGTATTCCTATTAAATAAAACAATTGTAGTCAAACAAGTGGTAAACAATAAATGTCAAACTAAAATAGAGTCTATAAAAATAAAGTGTCAGGTTGTCCTGCCGACACACTTTTTTCAAGTGTATCTAGAAAAGTAAAAAAAAAAAAAGAACACAAAACCTAGACTACATGTTAAATTAATTAATTACTATTTGCCTGAATATACGAAAAATGTATTCAGGCACATAATAATTTGTTTGAGAATGTGCTGCGGCCATGTTGGCCACCAGTGTGTTCTGCGAATGTGTGCCACCATCTTGGAGGCGGGGAGCATGACGTCACATAACACCATGCATGCGTGGCGTCAGGTGACGTCACATGCCGATATAGGTGCTGCCATCTTGGTGTATACCTAGATATACACCAAGATGGCGGCACCCAACACGTGTGGTGTTACATGACGTCATGCGCCCTGCCTCCAGAACACGCCAGTGGCTGAATCTAAAATAGCATAAAAATGTTTTGTTTGATGAAATGAAAACGTTTTTAGTTTTTCGTTCATTTCATGTGAAATTAATTTTTAGTCTTTGCACATGTCTAATAATACGTGTGTGTGGGGGGGAGGGGGTAGTTTTCACTTTTTTAAAATAATTTTTTACATTTTTTTTACTTTATTATTTAATTTTTTTTTTACTGTTGGGGGGCTTCGGGAAATATTAGGGGTCTAAACAGAACCCTGACATTTACCTTTAAAAATAGAAAAGAAATTGAGGACACAAAGTCCTCAATTTCTTTTTCTGCAGCCTCTGTTCTAAATGAATGGAAAGCACTCAGTACAGGAGGCTTCCCATTCATTCAGACACTGATGATAGCAAAAATAGGATTTTGTACTCACCGTAAAATCCTTTTCACTCCGTTCATTGAAGGACACAGGGCAACAGATCGTAGATCCTGAATGGTAGGGGTATATCGCCACCTGCAGGAGTAGGACGCTAGGCACATAACTAAAAGACAAGACAGCCTAGGGGCAGCCCCTGCTGGTGGCCCAACCCCTCACTTGCTGACAAGTCTCCAGTAAGTAACAAGCAGTTAGGAGTGTACACCCCATAAAAGAGGGCGGGACTTGTGTCCTTCAATGAACGGAGAGAAAAGGATTTTACGGTGAGTACAAAAATCCTATTTTCTCTCCCGTTCATTGAAGGACACAGGGCAACAGATCATAGATCCTGAATGGTAGGGACGTCACCAAGCAGTAACACACTGAGGGATGGGCAACAACAAACAAAACACCCAAAAGACCCCTCAAAGCGCAGCCTGCAACACTTTGCGCCCCAAACCAGCATCCGCCGATGCTAACACGTCCACCTTGTAAAACTTAACAAAGGTGTGAACAGAAGACCAAGTAGCGGCCTTACAAACCTGAGAAACAGAGGCCCCATGACGAAAGGCCCAGGAAGCCCCCACAGCCCTAGTAGAATGGGCAGTGACAGGGCGTACGCCTGAATAACCACATTGCGAATCCACCTAGATATGGTAGCCGCCGACGTGGCCTGACCCTTACGAGGGCACTCCGTGAGCACGAACAAGGAGTCAGTCGCACGAAAAGAAGCTGTAGCTTCCAAATTGACACGAAGAGCGCGAACCACATCCAAACAGTGGAGCGCACGTTCCTTCCTATGAACCGGCTTCGGGCACAGGGAAGGTAAGACAATATCCTCATTCAGATGGAATGCTGACACAACCTTAGGCAGGAAGGCTGGCCTAGGACGGAGAACCGCCTTGTCCCTATGCAACACCAGCAACGGAGACTTGCAGGACAAGGCAGCCAATTCCGACACCCGCCGCACGGAAGTGATGGCCACCAAAAAGGCCACCTTCTGCAACAAGGACAAAAGCGGAATCTCCCGAAGAGGCTCAAAGGGAGATTCCTGCAACACGGAAAGCACGAGATTCAAGTCCCACGGCGCCAAAGGCGAGCGGACGGGGGGAGCAATGCGCATCACCCCCTGAACAAAGGTGCGAACCAAAGCGTAAGACGCCAGAGGCCGCTGGAAAAGCACCGCCAAAGCTGAGATTTGGCCCTTCACAGTACTCAAGGCCAGCCCCTGGGCCACCCCGCGCTGCAAAAAGGCAAGAATTCTGCCGACGGAGAATAAACGCGGGGACAGGGCCCCAGCCTCACACCAGGCAAAGTAGGCCCTCCAAGTACGATGGTAAATTCTCCGAGAGACCGCTTTACGCGCCCTGAGCATAGTGGAGATGACCGCATCGGACAACCCCCGGTCCTTCAGGACCCGGCTCTCAACAGCCACGCCGTCAAAGCCAGCGACTGTAAAGAAGGATGGAACACAGGTCCCTGGGACAGAAGATCGGGGCGCAGAGGCACCACCAGCTGAACCACGTCCGCGTACCACGCCCTCCGAGGCCAATCCGGGGCCACGAGGACGACTGTGACGCCCTCGACTGCGATCCGACGCAGCAGACGAGGCAACAGATACAGTGGAGGAAAGGCGTAAATTAGACTGTAATTAACCCAAGGAGCCACCAGGGCATCCACGTCCTCTGCGCAGGGATCCAGGGCCCGGGCCACAAACCTGTCGCCAAACCCGAGACGCCAGAAGATCCACCTCCGGCGTCCCCCAGCGACGACGGAGCTGCTGAAAAACCTCCGGGTGCAGAGACCACTCCACCGGATCCACCGAGTGTCGACTGAGGTAATCGGCCTGCCAATTGTCCACTCCCGAGATGTAGACCGCCGAGAGAGCCAGGAATCGATTTTCCGCCCAGGACAGAATCCCGAACACCTCTCGACCCGCGGCCACGCTTTTTGTGCCGCCCTGGTGGTTGATGTACGCCACTGCAGTGGCGTTGTCCGACTGGACCCGGACTGCCAGACCCTGGAGCCGGGCCGACCAATGAAGGAGAGAAAGGCGAATCGCCCGAAGTTCCAACACATTTATCGACAGACGGGACTCCTCCGGCGACCAACGACCCTGCACGGTCAAGGAGCCCAGGACCCCGCCCCAGCCCCAAAGGCTGGCGTCCGTGGTGACCACCGTCCAATGCACAGGAAGGAAAGACTTCCCCCGCACCAAGACAGGAGATTGAAGCCACCACCGCAGGGAATCTCCCTGTCCAAGGACAGGGGGGACTTTTCCCACTGCACCAGGATGCTCCTCTGCAGGGTCCTGGTATGATGTTGCGCAAAGGGCACCGCCTCGAAGGAGGCCACCATGAGACCCAGGACCTACATGCAAACCCGAATGGGCGACCACTGGCGAGTCCTCAGTAACCGGACCTTGGAACGGAGCTTCAGGAGCTTGTCCCGAGGAAGAAAGACCCGGGCCGCGACAGTCTCCAGAACCAAACCCAGATACTCCAGGCGTGGTGAAGGCACCAGGCAAGATTTTCGCAGGTTCAGAAGCCACCCGAACTCCTCCAAGGACCGCATCGTGACCCCTAGAGCCGTGGTTTGAATAAAACCCTTTGAACCTTTCCGAGGACGGAACTAGCACAATAACCCCCTGGAACAAAAGGTCCGCCACAGCGCAACGGAGATCCGCCAACCGCGAAGGAGAGGCGGGTGTTGGACGGGAAAAAACGGTTTCCCGGACGGGACAGAAACTCGATCTTGTAGCCCCAGGAAACCAGCTCCCGGACCCAAGAGTCGGAGACGTGGGCCAGCCAAAAATCCGCAAAGAGCCGAAGGCGCCCCCCCACCCTGGGACCCAGAGTCGGGGCCCGACCTTCATGCGGACTGGGGCTTGCCGGCGGGCTTAGCAGACTTGGGTTGCCACGGACACTTGGAGGATTGGGCCGCTTGTGAGCGGAGAAAGTAGGCCCAGGCTTCCGGTGCTGTTCCTTCTTGCACGCCTGGGGAAGGAAGGTACTCTTACCCCCCCTCAGATCCTTAATGATCTCATCCAAGGTGGAACCAAACAGACGGTCCCCAGTAAAGGGCAACTCCTGTAGAGCCTTCTTGGAAGCCTGATCCGCCGACCAGCACTTAAGCCAGAGCAAACGGCGAAGCGTCACCGCTGACACCGACACCTTGGACACCAAGGGCGCCGCATCCGTTTCTGTTGCCCTGTGTCCTTCAATGAACGGGAGAGAAATATTTATTATCACCAGTTTCTGAATGGGGAAGAGCCTCTGTAGTGAGTGCTTCTCCCCATTGAGAAATTAATGAATGAACAGGAAGTGATGTAAAGTGATGTACAGCCTGTTCATTTATAACTGGGGACACATAGTACTATGTGTCCCCAGTTATTTATAAACACTGGAGTGATCAGACAATCACTCCAGTGTTTGCTTTGCACAGAGGATCGTTAAATGTCACTGATATTTACCGATCCTCCGCTCGGCCACGCACAGAGCTGCTGTCATCCTGAAACTGAGAGCGGCTCCACTCTACTCACCGCTCGGCCATCCTGAAAGCTGCGGCTAGTGGTGAGGAGGAGAGAAGCTGCAGCCTGTAGCCGCCCTGAGAATGAGCTGTGTCGACCGCCTGGTGCCCTTGCTGCCACGGCGCCCTGTGCTGCCGCACAGCTCGAACACCCCAAGGGCTGGCCCTGCCTACCTCCTCTCAGTTTATACACTAATCTTCAGAGGTGTAAGAGAGATGGATAGAAACCGCTGTAGAGATGGATGCGAAACAAAAAAAACTCTATTTTCCACACTAGTTATGTTTCCACATGATGGTTTAGTTTCTCAAATCTGTCTACAGATTCCAAAATCAGAAATGGATCATGAAACAGCCATTAAGGCTTGATGTGCACTGCGTTCACAAATCACATTGTAATAGCCGTAAACATGCAAGATTGGACTTACATCATCTTCTACATTTCCTGATAGAGCTCTCATCTCTTCTCTTTCCTTTTCCATAAAGGGAATCAGGTATCCTACGGACTTTTTCATAACCCGAGCAGACTTTATTACCTAAAGTGAAAGGCAAAAGCAAAATTTTAACAATAAACTAATCCACTACCTACTGCTCACTAAAGATAGCATTATTATAGGCACATAACTTAAATACATTAGCCAACATTCAGCAACTAAAAAGGACAATGTACCACACAAAACTTTTCCTCTATATATTGAGTCATCAAGTTGCTGTATAGTCTTACTTTTGCCTGATGCTGTTGGCCTTATCTCCGGCAATCAGCAGCAACATATACAAACTAACCAAAGTGTGCTGGTTTAATGAAGTATGAAATCAATATTGATTTTTTAAAAACCTGCTTCTTCTAAAAATGCTTCTTCTAATTAGGAAACTCTGCAGTCATATAGCTGTTTGGCAAAACCCTCTCTGTTACAGTATTAGTTTTTATGTGTAAACTACTGCAGCATGTAAACTGACGCATTTTAGAGTCTACCGACTCTTTTGACATCATCCATTTATTAACACCCTCTCACAACAAGGAGCAGTCATTAACATGCCAGAATCTACTACCTTAGAAACCAGTGGAATCCGGAGCAGCAGCTCATACAAAAAAATATTGTGCTGCAGCAGTGATTGACTGGATTATGTGCAATAGCATCTATGGGACTGCAAAGCTTCCTTATTATGAGCGTAAAAGCTATTTTATCTTCATTGCTTCTAAGCGGTTTTTTTATCTATAGTTAATTGCTGCAAAATCACTACTCATTTTCCAAAGTAAAACAAAAAGCAAACAGACTGGCTAAAATATACGTGTTTCATATGGAGAGTAAATAGTTACATATTTATTCAAGCTGTATATATTATAAAATTTCAAAAGCATTCCTTCAGCAAGGCTTCTAGAAATCTTGTGTACCTGAGGTAAGAACATCTTTCCAGATCCAAACAATTCCCCTACCACCTTCATGCCATTCATTAGAGGACCTTCAATAATGTGGAGGGGTCTTGGATACTGTTGTTTATTTGACCTTGCTTCCTCTGTGTCCTCTATAACATGTTTGTCAATACCCTAATAGGGAACAAAATGTTGGGGGAAAAAAAAAAGTAATTTTTCCTGGATAACCCTAGAAGGCTATTATTGCAACTACTACTAGCTGCAGGCTCCTAAACAATACAGAATACATAAACGTAACTAATGTATTTAAGGGTAATATGAAAAGTGCAGCATCATATAGCAAGCAATTCGTCTTACTAGACATCAGTAAAAAATTAAAACTGGTCTGGTTACTAGCAGTTATGTTGCAAATAATTATTGTTTTTTGTACTACTACTTACCTTTTCATGTCAAGTGGTAATGAAAACCTTTGTGACCAAATTTGGAAGTTTTGGCATGCAAGTTACTCAGCAATAACTTTTTAACTGCTTTGCAGGCAAAAATAATTTTCACACTTTTTAGAACTTATGGGGCCTTCAGTTAGTAGTTTGTTGCAGTTTGTTTGTTTAAAGCTGAACGTTTTACTTACATTGGTTCAACTTGGCCCAATGTAGTGGTTGCAGCTACTAGAATGCATTACAGTAATCTTCCAGGTCCTGTATACGGATAGGCTCCATGTTCAGAGTCCAACAAGAGTCCGACTCGAACATCGTTAGTTTGTGTGTTCACCGAACACATGAACTATCAGGGCACAGTGCCTTGTGAAGCCCTAATTGACTAAAGCCTTGCATCTGGCCACAGGTGAGGTACAAGACTTTGTTCAATCACGGCACAGTGCACTGGAGAACCATGATTGGGCAAAGTATGATGACTTTCCCAATCATGGCTCACCTGTCAGGTGGCGTACAAATGTAAACAGTTGGGCATAGCTAGCTAGCTGTCACCGCTAGCTCCTGCCCAATAGTTTATATTTTGCCGGCATCTGTCAGAATGCCATTCTGCGGTGGGAGTTTGTCTGAGCGGACGGGGGTTGTTTTTCAAAAAATTATTTCTATTTATTTTTTCCCGTTTTATTTGTTTATTTAGTCGAGTCGTCGTCGTCCTGGACAATGCAGGACGTCCTGATTGACCCTGGATTACGTCAGAGGATCCATTTAAAAAAAAAATAAAAGACTTGTCAAAACATGGTTTTAGAGGACCCAGGAAACCAAGTGAACACAGGTTTAGAGGACCCAGGAAACCAGGTGAAGGACTTTTTTCCTCCTTAAAGAGATTTATCAAAAACACGGATATATGAAAGTCCATAACTACACCTTACCCATACAGGAATGTGTCCCCTTGCTCTATCCATGGTGAATTACAGAGACTTCCTATACCAATCACCATTTGATAGATAATATCCATCAGACATCGGGATACATACACAAGGAATTGCCCTACTTGATCTATTTTGTCCACACTCCAAATCATCGTTTGTTAAGGGGTTTAGCACTGATTATTATCAGGTGCTTCACTTGGGAGCATTCCCTTGTTTCTACAGGGATTAAGCTTGTTTGCAGTATGTGTGGGGCCCATAGTGTGTATGAATGAGTGTTTGAGTGTCACAAACAACGTTGTTTCTTTTATTGTGTCAGTAAGAAGCGGAAGTGTTGTTGCAAAGAAATCGATGTTTTGTAAAACATAATAAAGTCTATATTTTTATAAGATTTAATGGTCTCGGTCTGTTTTAAGCAACCACTTTCTGTGATCCTCACTTGGAACACTCCCCTACTTTTCTGTTTATCTAACCCTGGTTGCATGACCTGAGAGGACCAAACTTAGAGAGCATTTCAAGGGATTCGTATAGTATATCGGAGCTCCAGGGAAAATACAATTTTTTACTTGTCAAAACATGTCTTTTGGTTTTTTTTCAAACGTGTTTTTATTTCCAATTTATTTCAACCCTTTGGGGAATGGGTAGGGATACAAGTACCCCTTACTCATTCACAAGGGGGGGCCACATCTGGGTGCCCCTTTATTAAAGGGGTACCCTCATGTGAATAAGCCCCCCCCCTGCCCACACCCCCACAACCAACGCTCCAGGGCTTGGGGACAAGGTGCTTTTCCAGGAGCGACCCTGCAAAAGCACCCTCCCAGTGCCTCAAGAAACGTTTGGACGATTTCTTAAGGGACCGTAATATACAGGGGTACGGGTAATCCTAGAATGAGATCCTAATAGGTTGGACTTGATGGACTAATGTCTTTATTCAACCTCAAATACTATGTAACTATGTAACTATGTTTTCCCCCATTTTTGGGGGTGGGGTTCCTCAAAATTCCTATCAGACCTTAAGGGTCTGGTATGACTTTGAGAGGGGAACCCCACACACTTTTTTCTAAATTGTAACTTGGTGTCACTCCTAACTTTCCTTCCAGATCTAAAGGGTCTGGTATTGTTTGGGAAGGGGAATCGCACGCATTTTTTTCTTAAATTTTTTTTGCTGCAGCTGGTTTTATACATCGTGCAGATGTACCACTTTACAGGCAGTTTAAGGGGACCCCCCCCCCCAGGCACGATATTTAAAGGAATTTTTCATTTTTATTGTTTCACTTTAAGCAATGTTAAAATCACTGCTCCTTTAAAAACGGTCTTTTTAAAAAGTTTTTTTTTCCATTGATACATGTCCCCCATGGCAGTACCCGAATCCCCATACCCTTTTTATGACCAATAACTTGCATATAAGCCTTCAAAATGGGGACATTTGATTTTCAGAGTTCTGGTCCCACAGACTTGCATTGAGGTTGAAACTCGAGTTCGAACTTTTTTCATGTTCTAAAGTTTGGACTCGAACTGAACTCGGGTGTGTTCGGCCCATAACTACTCCTCTACAGCAGCTGTGCTGAGCAACTCATTCAGCACAGCAGACATTCAGTGAACGCCTAGTATTTGTTTGTTTTTTTGTTTTTAAGTAAAACATACATTAACAAAAACTGATATACAAAAGATGCCAGCAACCATTACAAATGCTTGAATCTCTGCTAAAACAATGGGTTACAAGAAATTCAGTGATTATCTGAATAATCCAAGCAGTAGCACAGGCCGATAGGAGAGAGGTGTTACATTGGTGTAATGTATCAACGATTTACATAATCTTTTCAGGGCATGAGAATATGATGTGTTGTGGAAGGAAATTACATAACTGTGAAAGTATTTGCAGGGCACAAAAAATAATATATGTAAGGTATTCAAATGGGTTATAGGTATAATGGATCAAAGGACATCTATATTTCCCAAAGAACCATCTAGTTTGGCTTCAAGATACCATTTAGAATGCTGAAATGGTGGTGATAATTCTGCCGTAATAAAAGATGTCCATGTGTTGAAATGTTTTTTTGGTGCGTGCCTGATTAAATTTGGTATCTAACTTGTCAACAGTAAGCGGAATAGGAGGGAATGAAAGGTAATAATCGTGGGGGAATTTGGCAGAATCCAGTTGCTCAAAATTGTATTTTTAGCTGTCAGTAGGCATAAGTGTTCCCAACGTGAGGGAGGGGAAGGCATACGATCAGGGGCTGGGCATAAAATAGGCAAAAGGCTAGAGACAGCGGTTTCGACGTACCAGAGCGGATATTTATAAAAGGAGATTATGTCGGACCAGAAGGTCTTGTTAGCCAGTCAGAGGAACTATTCTTGGTAGGTATGTTAAATGAGTGATGGGCCCTATGAACAACTTTGAAGTGAATTAAAGGATTCACATATTATAGCTTTCCTAACTTGCATCCACCCGCGTTCAATGACCGTGATTGTATCCTCTGTAGATAAATTAATTCCCGTATGCGCCGCATATAGGGACTGGTAAAACGTACAAAATCTTACACACCTCAGTGGTAACCAAGGAAACTGCACCATTGGTGCTCACCAGTTAAAGTATATGATCAGGAGTGGTTCTTTCCCAGACTAAATTTGCCAATAGTTTTCCGGATTTATTTCCAAATTTGAAAAATTCTACCTCTTTATGGGAGCGAATTTGGAGATCATATTGTGATTTCCAGTGATCACAGTTTTGTTTAGCCTGTGTCCATAATGACCTATTCTGGGGAGTAGGATTTTGCTTATGTATTAAGTAAGCTGATCTAGCCATCATGCAAGCCTCTACATACACTATACAGATGTTCCTCACTTACCGACTTACCTGTTTTGCGACCACTCGCACTTACGACGGACCGCCGATCGACCTCCGACCTTCCGCGTCAGCGTCAGTGCGACGGGTCGCCGGCGGAAGTGACATCCCCCGATCTTCACTGCAGGTCTCGGTAAGTATTTCCATTGCCGGATGTACAGTACACTGTTCGGTACTGTACATCGGCAACGCTATACAGTACTGTACTAATGCAGTATAGTACTGTATAGAGTTCCTCACTTAACGACCAATCCGTTTAACGACCTGGTCGTAGGAACGGAACTCGGTCGTTAAGTGAGGAATACCTGTATTGCCAAAAGTATTGGGACACCCCTCCAGATCATTGGATTCAGGTGTTCCGTGAAATTTCCTTGCTACTAAATATTCCACGGTCAACTGTTAGTGGTATTATAACAAAGTGGAAGCAACTGGGAACAACAGCAAGCAGGGTCAACGCATGCTGAAGCGCACAAGTCGCCAACAGTCTGCAGAGTTAATAGCTACATACCTCCAAACTTCGTGTGGCCTTCAGATTGGCACAACAACAGTGCATAGAGAGCTTCATGGAATGGGTTTCCATGGCCGAGCAGCTGCATCAGAGTTACATCACCAAGTGCAATGCAAAGCATCAGAGTGGTGTACAGCATGCCGCCACTGGACTCTAGAGAAGTGGAGACGTGTTCTCTGGAGTGACAAATCACACTTCGCTGTCTGTCAATCCGATGGACGTGTCTGGGTTTGGCGGTTGCCAGGAGAACGGTACTTGCCTGACTGCATTGTGCCAAGTGTAAAGTTTGGTGGAGGGGGGATTATGGTGTGGGGTTGTTTTTCATGGTTTGGGCTTGGCCCCTTAGTTCCAGTGAAGGGAACTCTTAAGGCATCAGCATACAAAGACATTTTGAACAATTTCATGCTCCCAACTTTGTGGGAACAGTTTGGGGATGGCCCCTTCCTGTTCCAACATGACTGCGCATC